TATAAATACCTTGCTACGTGTACTGCGTTAGGCTAACCGAGACTTGTCATTTGCACTTACATATTGTTGCTCTTTTGATAGTTTTGATTGCTTCTATTGTCCTCATTTGTAAGTCGCTTTGGATAAAAGTGTCTGCTAAATTACTAAATGTAAATGTAATAAAAATGAGTAAATCAGAAATATCCACAGGCTGTGCTTTATTTGGACTTTTGTCCTGCATTTTTGCCGTAACTGTAATTTCCATCAAACCAACTGTAAGTCGAGTTGTATTGACGATACACAAAAGCACCTCATGGCAAAATACACCACAGACAAACTCATGGCAAAACAGTGAACTTCCTCATGCATGCTGGCCCTGATTTATATAAAATCACATGCAAACTTGACAGAATGCTGTTTTATATGGTTTTTGCAGGTTTCCTTCGATCCTCAGGGATGCATTCATATTCAAGATGCATTTTTGGTTGTAAAATCGTGACGCTTAAACCTTTGTTTTGTGAATTTTGGAAAAATGTTTTCTAAAAAAAATACAAGTTTCGACTTTCTGTATATTGCTTTTATAACTATTTATTTGATTATTAATTTTATTTTCATATTATGCAATTTATTTATTATGTTTTTATTAATACTATTATCTATAATATTTACATTTTGTATATTATTAATTTTATTGCTATTATTTATATTATCATTTTATTTTATTTGTAATTTTTATTACTTTTATTGACTGATATTTGATTTTGTGATTTTGCTGTTTTGTGATTTTTGTGGTCAGATTACTTGTTTAAAAAAATACAAATATGCACTGACTTTCTAGTTTTGACTTTTTTTTAATTACTTTTATAACTTATTTATAATTTATTTATACTATTAATTTATATTATTTTTATTGATTATTATTCACATTTTATTTATACTCATTTTAGATTTTTAGATTTATATTATTCATAGCATTATTGTATTGCTGTTATTTATATTATTTAATTTTATTATTTAATTTATACTTTTTATTACTTTTAATGACTGCTATTTGAACATTTGGTTATTTTTCGTGATCAGATTATTCACTTGTTGATTAGCAAGAATTAGTCAAATCTGCTGACAGTCTTGTTGTTTATTGCTGAATATCAATGTCCATGTTTTGTGAATTTAGAGTAAATATTGTGTAAAATAAGTGTTTATTTTCATTAAAGTGTATTTTTATATGTATGTATATCAGCATTATATCAGCCAATCTGCTCTGTATACTAATTTTTAAATATAGGCCTATATGCATTATAGAAATAATATAATTGTCAAATATGAAATCTCCATCTGTGCAAATGCATTGCCCACAGTTTGTTAGATTGCATTAGCAAATTCAAAGGTCTGTTTTATTTGGTAAATCAGGATGCTTATGTACAGGACATGACCTTTGCATGATCTGCGGTTTGAAAATGAAGAACATAAACCAGTTTCCAGAACGATAAACATTAACCCATGTTGCTTTGAGTGAACAAACAGGCCACTTTTTTTCAGGAAGGACCCGATGCAGAGCAGGTTTTTCTGGGAGTGGCCTGAGGTTTCTGCCCCTCCTGAGCATCAATAAAAGGAGGAAGCATCGCAGCTCTGAGCTCAGCGGACGCTTCATCACACCAGCCACTGATGCCTTTCCAAGCAGAAGAAAGCAGATCTGAGGCTTGTAGCTGAGGGTAAACCTCTGAGAAGCGGATGAAGAAACAAATCTTACTACGTTTCACATACCGAGGACTAGTAAGAAAAGGGAAGAAGAGTAAAAGAAGAAAATGGCCAGTTTTATATTACGGAAAGCCGAGCCCAAGGACGTGTCTGACATACTGCGACTCATAAAGGTATGAAATTCAGTTTTAAACCTGACCGATGTTCAAAATTTCATGTTTAATTTAATGTTACTTGCAGTTTCTTTGTATTTATTTATTATGATTTTATTTTTTTATTTTATATTTATGTAATTTTATATTCATTGCTATTTATAATTTATTTCATTAATACTATTGTTTGTTTATTTATAATATTTATATTATGACTTGTATTGCTATTATTATTTATGATATTTAATAAAGGTATGGGTAGTTCGGTTTTAAACCAGATTGGTGCTATTTAAGGCAGTTTAAAAGCTGTGTAGCTACACTGCAAAAATTATTTTTCAAAGTTATAAATCAAGATTATTGAAGTATGCTTTACAAGAAAATAGTAGTTCAGTTTTTTCTAAATTTCATGTTTAATTCAATGTCTTGCTTGGTTTCTTTGTAGTTTTCTTTATATTATTTTTATTTTATTATTATTATTTTGTTTTATTCTTATATTCAAATTGTGAAATTTACTAGCAATTTATGAGTGAAATTTGTTTCTACACCAATATATTATTATTATTATTATTATTATTTTTTTTTTTTGACCTCAAATGTTGTGATGATGAGATCTGAAGAGTTACAGTATAGTTAGTAATCCTAACTTTATCATTTTCAAACCTGAATATGCATGTTTCATGTTAGGAACTGGCCAAATTTGAGGAAATGGAAGATCAAGTTGTTCTCACTGAGAAAGGTGAGTACATTTAGGCGTTTTCAGAGTTTGTAGCTTGTGTTTTCACTCTTCTGACTGCTCTTTGGCTCCTGTAGATCTGCTGGAGGACGGGTTTGGAGATCATCCGTTCTATCACTGTATCGTGGCTGAAGTGCCCAAACAGCAGCAGAGCGCCGACGGTAAGACTAAACCTGTGCTTCAGCTCTGTGTTTCAATGCACAATATGTCATGCTGTTCTGTTTTTTTCCATAGCAGGTTGAAGCGAGCACATCAGGAGTGTGTAAATTCCCACTGACACTTGGGTTACAAAGCGTGCTTCTGTGCATAATGACGAAAAACTGTGTTTGGTAACACTTTGCATTGCAGTGCGCATGTTACGCATACAATAAACATGACGTGCATGTAGTTCATTAGTGTTAGTTCACCCAAAAATGAGATTTTAGGAATAATATATAAGTATACACACTGCCAAAAATGATTTTCTTATTCAGTATTTTTCCTGTTTCTTCTTAAATCAAGATACATCTGCTTGAATTGAGAAGCAGACGCGTTTCAAAAAGGCGGGGCATAGAGGAGAAACAATAATGTACAGTATGTGGAAAATAATGTGTTTTTTTTACTTTAAACCGCATAAACACATTTCATTACACCAAATACACAAAATAATGTTCTTTTTAGCAGCATCATATGACCCCTTTAAGATATTAAGTCTTGTTTTCTGAAAAATGTCTCAAAATTAAGTGGCTTGATGCTTAAAACAAGAAAAAAAATCTGACAAAGGGGTCTGAAAAAGAAACTTAATTTAGAGGGAAAAACTAGTTTGGTTTTTCTGACCTCATTAGCGGACATTGTTTCCTATTTTAAACATAAAGTCACTTCATTTTGAGACATTTTTCAGAAAACAGGACTTATCTTAAGTCATTTTGCTTCTCAAGTAAATGCATATTGATTTAAGAATGTTTCGATATTTGTACTGGAAAACAAGACAAAAATACTGAATTAGAAAATCTACTTAAATTTGGGTCTGTTCACACTGTACACTCTCAGAAAAAAAGGTACAAAATCTGTCACCGGGGCAGTACCTTTTCAAAAGGCACACCTTTGTACCTAAACAGTCCATACTGGTACCTTAAAGGTACATATTAGTACCTAAAGTGTACATATTAGTACCTAAAAGGTACAAAAGTGTACCTTTTGAAAAGGTACTGCCCCAGTGACAGCTTTTGTATCTTTTTTTCTGAGAGTGTATGGCTTCAAAAAAAAAAAAAGTTTTTGTCGTTTTTATTGCTTTAGAGAAGTGGTCACTATTTGGGATTTCAAATTTTGGGACATTTTGACATGAGGGTAAGTGAATAATGCCATATATTCATGTTTGGGTGAACTGTTTATTGAAGTAACACTGTAACATGAACACTGGAATGTAAAGTGATTTTTTTTTGTGTGTGTGTGTGTGTGAATCTGAACGTTCAACACAGAGATTTTGAGTTGTTTGACAGTTGCAAAGAAATCTTATCCAATCCCCCTCTGTAATTTATTGTCTTCAGGCTACAGTCTCTTGCTTCGCCATGTACACTGCCCATGGCGTGTACATGGATGGGCGGGGAGGTAACTGAAAGATCGCTTACAATAGCGTAACATATACAATAAACCAGAGGTAAGGCCACAACAGCTGGGACGTCCCAGCCTAACACCACACTACCATACGCCCCCAAACTAACAGACGGACTATGGATTTGATCCAACACTCACAACTAGGGATGGGAATTGCAAGGAATGAACGATTCCATGAATGAATCTTTTAGAATTTTGGGGAAGAACAAATGTTTGGAAAACAATTCTAATTGCCATGACAACAGCAACATTTACTTTTACAAAAACATCTTTGGAAAGTCATGAATGTCTTTCTAGTATGTTTTGATTCCCAACCACTGATCTATAATAGAGCTTGATAATAATAGTAATTATGTAGATCGGTGTTCCCAACCCTACTCTGCCTCACTGCAAAAAATTATTTTCATACTTAGTATTTTTGTCGTTTTCCAGTAGAGATATTTCAACATTCTTAAATCGAGATGTTTACTTGAGAAGCAAAATGACATAAGAAATTAAGAAAAATGCATCAGTAACATTAAATAAAAATAATGTTCACATATTTTATATATATATATATATATATTGTATTTTTATATATAAAAATGTATATACATTTTATTATATATAAATGCAAGAAAATAAAAGAATATAATTTTTATATAATGTCATTTAAATATTATTATTTTTTATTATTTTAAGCATAAGCTC